AACCATCACCATGATGATAGGACGGTGTGTGAAGGTCAGCTCGGATAAAATAAGTATCTTCGCCTCGACGAACTTTGGCCACCCTTTTGGACCCACTAAAAACCCCGACTGGGATGTCTGCCAGAGGGCTTCAAACTAAGAGGGGAACTTAAGGTTCAAACCTGATTGAAAAATAATCTAAAGGGACAGTGAAAACCTAAAAGGGACAAATATTTATAAAGTGGGTGCTTCAATGACAAAACATAGAGATAATTAATTATTATTTATTATTATTATTATTAACATAGGGTTAATAATTCATGTAATAAAGAATAATAAAATAAAACGTATATTAAGTATTTTCAGTAATATCTTTATTGTTAAGCAAGTGAATCATAATTATTAACAGAAATCTGTTTTATTTTTATTGTAGTACTTATGATATACGATGTTTTTTGTTTGATTACCTGGTGAATATACAAACAAATCTGATGGTTTTCCAACACGGGAACAAAACAGGCAACATACAATTGACCATGTGAGAAACATGGGTTTTCTAGATTAATACCACAAACACCTAATGATTGCCCCTGGGACCTATTTATGGTCACAGCAAAAGCAAACCGCACTGGAAACTGTAGTCGTTTAAATTCAAATAATATATCAGTCGGAATCGTTGGGATACGTGGTATCAAAACGTCTTCTCCGTTATACTTTCCTGTTGATATTTCTCAACATTATAACTACCGATCCAACCTTTAATTGAAGATTCTAAGGTGGTAATCCTGGTAAATTCAGCGAATTTAAAAATTCAGGCGGATAGTTGACTACATCATCTTAGTTAGTAGCCGAATCAACTGATTCATTTATCCTCAATTCGCCTGTAATTTGTTCTTGAATTTTGAAATTTAATTCATTTACATCTGTTTTTTGCAGGCAATATAGCTCGTTTCTGAAATTTTGAGCAACATTTGGAAACACCTTCTGGAAAACAAACATATCGGTTTGTTTGACAGATTCAGATACGAACGCGCACGCACATACATTTGAATGAATTATTGAATTTTGTGCAGCGACAATACAGCACAAATTGAATCTTCGACGCTAGGAACACACCTACATTGTTTAGACAATAGTGAGTGCTTGTAATTTATTATAAACTTTATTGAATGGCAATAAAGTTTAAATTGACTCTACATTTAGTTAGAAAATATTTGTATGGGAAAAAGAAAAGGGCTGTTTTAGGGTTTTCCCGGAAATAACTCGAATTTTTCATGCCGTAAAAACCATCCTTAGACTTTAAGGAACATTAAAAAAAAATGTTAAGATTGGTCCATGAGTTGTTGCGTTATACGCTTACCAACACATTTTGCGATTCATTTTTATTTAATAGATAATAACCTGTAGATACTAGATGTAATTTGGAAGAACGCAACTAATACTGCAAGTGGCTAACTTTTTGCGTTTTTTTTTTTTAGCTTAAAATGGATATTCTTAACAATATTCGGCTTATTCGTATGATTTTTAGAGGTTCAGTGACATTTTCGTCTCTGATGACTGGATTATTTACATTAAGAATTGCCTATAGAAGAAAAAACAGTCGAAAAATAATTTTCATCAAAGACCTATGACAACATGGGACAAAATAGTGTCAAAGTACTTAATCCGGAAACCACAAACTTGGAAAAAAGCGGTAGCGATGACAATAATTAATTAAATATGTGAAAAATAAAATACCTATATACATATATTTTTTACTAATCTTTTGTTAAAATGTAACAAATTTTATTTCCTTGCGAATAAACGTTTTCTATTTAGAGAGATGGTATTTATGTTTAATTGTTAATGATTTATTTGACTAGATAATAAGAAATATTTATTCATATTTAACAATATACAAGACGTTGTTAAAAGAAACAGTCTGACATTTTGTGTAACGATCTATTCAAAAGTCAAAAGTAAAAGTTTTATAAGAAAACGAAAAGCGTGAGAGATGTATACAAACTGTAATACAATATGTGAATGATAATTATAAAACAATAATATGTCATTGGTAGTATTTCCACATACTTTTTAAGAATATTTAAAAATAGCAATTAAATAGGTAATATAATTAAGTACTTTTTTTAAGCCGCAATTTTTTATAAGGCCGATAATTGGGAAGATCTTAAAACTATTCAAATAAACAAACTCACAATAAATTACGAAAAAACTAAATATATACCTTTTGCAATACATAAAAATTCTCTGCCAACTTTTAATTCATTATAAATAAAAAAACAAATATTTAAAGCAGAATACATAAAATATTTAGGAGTTTTAATTGACAGGCACCTTAAATGGGACTTACAAATAAAAAATATTATAAGAAAAATACGAGGACTGTTACCAAAATTCCGCTATTTAAAAGAGTTTTTGAATGTTGAACAGCTTAAAATGCTTTACCTGTCTTTAGTACAATGTCATCTTGTATATGGGATTTTAGGATGGGGTGGCGTAGCTGATTGCCATCTGGTGGTCCCTTAAAATACTCAGAAATGGTTTCTTAAACTAATATATGGAAAACGAAAAACATATTCCTCAGACCAACTTTTTCATGAAACTCAGGTTCTTGGTGTTCGGCAATTGTACTGCTTAGAGCTACTTAAAAATATTCATAAAGATAAAATACCTCTTAGAGTAAAAGTGTCAAATTATGAAACAAGAAGAAAATTGAATGTTGAATGTCTTCACACTTCAAAAACAATCACGCAACGGTCAATTAAATATTCTGCTCCAAGAATATACAATCAATTGCCCATAAATTTTAAAAATATCAAAAATTTTTATTTGTATAATAAATTAGTTAATGCTAGAAAAGAAAAAAAGGGAATTGTGTAACAATTTAATAAATTTAAATTATACTAGATTAAAAAACGAAACAAATTAGATTAGATTAGAAACTGTAAAAATGAAATAATAATTTGTAAAAAAAACATTAAACCTGTTAATATTAGACAGATTAAGTCAACAAGCATGTTAATGCTTTAAAGATTTTTTTTTTACTTTTATTTTATTGTAAGTAAACATAGGTGCAGGTGCATTAAGACTTTTTAATTTAATATATAACACCGGAGTGATTCCCGCAGATTGGCTCAAATTCATCTTTATCGCAATACCTAAAAAACACAATGCGAGAAAATGCTCAGAATATCGATTAATTAGCCTAATGAGCCACACTCTTAAAATTTTCCTCAAAATACTTCACAACAGAATTAGACGCAAATGCAAAGAAGATCTTGAAGATACCCAATTTGGTTTCAGAAATGCTATGGGAACCAGGGAGGCACTTTTTGTGCTTAACATCCTATTACAAAAATGCCGTGACCAAAGAAAAGATGTATTTGCATGTTTCGTGGAATTCGAAAAGGCATTCGATAAAGTACAGCATGTAAAATTAATGCATAAAATAAATGCGTAAAATTCCCATAAAGCAAACTTAGTTTAGATAATAGTATTTATTATTGTAAATAACAAATTAATAAAGAATTACCTAAATTTCCCAACAATTTTCTTAAAAAATTTTTTCAATAAAAGTGCTATTCTATTTAGAATTTTTATATATTTTTATTATTATATGCATATTTTTTGGGAAAATCATTTTTATGTGAATATTTTTCCATAAGACCAATTATCATTTATATTGGAGGCTAAAGGATAATGGAGTTGTTAATCACGGCTTATTAAAATTTGATTCAAATTGAAACTACAAAAGATTACCACTAAAAAATACCTCTGATATTTTCTTGTAGAAAGCTGTAAAAGTTGTAATAGTATATTTGAATATTTACTTTAATATTGAATAATTCAATCATCATGGGACTAAAAACAGAAATTTCAGAATAAAATCCAACAGTCCTATTCAACTTTTTTACAGTTTTAAATATTGAAATACATATAAAAAATATATAAATAAATCTTTTAGACTCACCAACAGCTTTTAACCCACTGTGAAGACTTAAAACACAGTTAAATCCAATTTGCTAGTTCAAAATTATTAAATAATTTTTTTCAATGTAAAACATTTATAGAAAAGAGTCTTCTCAATTCAAATGTTGTCTAACGAGTGATCTTTGTTTGTCAATTTCCTATTTTCTTTAGACATAATTACTGACTCATGTAAAATTTGAAAATTTTCATGACGCAGTGTAAAATAGGCCAGGAGCCAAGAATCTGTTATTAGATCTTATAAAGAAATAATCTTAAAATTACATTAAATCATTTAAATATTTAACAATAAGTTACGAGGTTGTTAGAACAAACCATAAGGAAAAAATAATAAAATAGATAAATACATATGAGTGATACCTGGCACTAGCGAAAATTTCGAGATGTTTTTGAAGTTATCCAGATTTTATGGCATATACAATGAATATACAAATGTGCCAAAGATTATCACACTTGGACTGGAAGACGTGTTCAAAGATATTAACTGAGCAGATAAAGGAATAAATGTTAATAGAAGAAAACTGAGTCATTTAAGATACGCTGATGACATTGTAATATTCGCTACAAATTTCGAAGAACTACAGACCATGATGACGCAACTATTTCAAGCTTCGAAAAAAGTAGGCCTTGATCAAGATGAACTTGGAAAAAAACAAAAACTTAAGAAGATCGAACTGGAAGCAAGTGGCGCATAATAGAAAACACTGGATTAATTTGGGGGAGGCCTATGTTAAAAGTTGGATTACTTAAGACTGAAGAAGAAGTATAAAATACATTTGACAGTGTCAAATATGTATCCATATCACGGACGCCATGATACACTGAAAGACATCCCTGAAATAAAAAAATAAAGATAAAAGAGACCTGCGAATAATTCTGAATGATTATAAATAGGAGCTATTTATATTTTTAGCTAACCTAAAATTGCCGAAAATATGCAATTTATTATACACTTGTTTAATTTAGAAATCTTAATAGTAGACAACCCTACGTGGTAGACAACCACAAAGATTCTTCTTTTTACATTCAATTAACGTGACTTAACCTCACTTTCACCTTTGTTGAATTAAAATGTCTTCAATTAATATTTCTCGTTTCTTTAAGAAAAAAAGTGTTAAATACGGACTGCCATTTTTTGTATTGATGATTGGTGGCTCTTTTGGGTTGCGGGAATTTACAAATCTCAGGTATCAATTCGCCAAAGTATCCTCAGTTAAACCAGAGGATTTCGAAAAATTAGGAATAGAAATGAAAAAACCTGGAGAAGTAACACTAGAAAGTGAATATGAGAAAATCAAGAAATTAGACATCGATAATTGGGAACAAGTAAGGGGCCCTAGACCGTGGGAAGAGAATTCTGCAAATTGAATTAAACAGAAATGTAATATGTGTATTAGACATTAATTATCTGTGATATTTGTACATATTGTTACAAAATAGTAAATTTTAGGTCGAAATAAATGTTTTTACCTTGATACTTTTATTGCTTTCAATAGTAGCATTAAAGAACATATTAATAACAATATTTTCCTTGTATGTTTTGTTATTCCAAATTATGTAGTAGTAGTAGTTTTTGTTTGCTTTATAACAAGCTTGTTATGAGTTCGCTCTTATAAAGCAAAGTGGCAGAAATATGCACATCAGCGAATGGTGGTACTCTGTAACAAAATCGAACCGAAAGCGTCTATCATATTATTTTACTCTAGTATGGAGACGGGATACAATTATAAATCTCTCTACTTGCTTTGCAACATTTAAAAAGCACAGATTTAGGCTGAATCCTGAATTTGATTTCCAATTTATAGTATAAAATTTCAAATTTGAGGTCTGTTTCAAGTAGTATTTGGAATTTTTCTGATTAATTGAGAACAATATGAAGCCTTATCCATAAAGGTGTATATTTAACTTTTTGGCTGATATAAATAATGCAATAATAAGCCTGTCTTTTATTGGAAAGTAATACAGTTGAACTTGTTTTATTATTATTTGTCCAGCTTTTGGCATCATAAGTATTAAACCAGGTCTCATATAAATATAAAATGTTTGATTAGTAAAAGAAAGATATCCTTCAGCTCATGGTACTTATCTATGATTTTATATTTAAAATTATTAGCTTTGAGGAATATTCAAAATGGTTCTGGGCATTAAAGAACATCTTTTCAAACCAATTCCCTTCGAAGGTTTTCAATAGTTGCAAAAGTACTCACTACTTACATTTTGTATACCTACTCTGTTATTGTCACAGGTTCAATAAGGTGAAATTTTATTTTTCTGCACTTGACACTATCCTTTCTCTTGTGCCTAGACGAAGGTTTTACCTTCATCTAGGCACAAGAATACAGCCCCTGATTATGATTCTTATTTATATATTGATCACAAGTCCATTCAAAATGCTGAAGTAATAAAATGTTTAGGACTGTAACTTTAAGTAGAAATATAAGGAATACTGTATCCTTCCATATATTAAACCACACACTTTGGTGTTCTCAATTTTATTGAGACTGATAGCTTGGGGTTACAGAGCATTTTACACATATTCATGAAACCAGATCTTGCTATTTCAATGGGTCTTCTAATTTCTTTTGAGTGGTGTAGTTGACTACTTAGCTCTCTGCCCAGGTATATGAAGCTTTGGGAACTCTGAAGGGTGATACCATTTATTTGTGTTAGGTGTAACTTGTTCATGGAAGTTTTTGTGGAATACCAGAATTTTGGTTTTGGAAAAGTTAATATAGTATGGAGCTATATATGTGGATGTTAGCCAGTCATGCGGTATTATGCCATGTTCATATATAATGTTGCAGAGGTATGTTAATTTCCTGACAGCTTGGGTGTTTAAAATGTTCGGCTGTTATTAGGTCTTCGCCGGGTGCCTTGTTCATTGTGTCTTTTATTGCCTGCAAAACTTCTTCATTGAGAATGTTAAATTTTCCATCTGTATCTATTTGTGGGGGCCCTTCTGTTCTCTGATCACCAAACAAATCTTTAAGATATTGCTCCCATATTTCTTTCCGTTTTTCAGGGTCTAATTCCATTTGGTTTTTCTTGTTTGTTACAATCGATAAGTGTTTGGGTTTCCATATACTTCTTTAGCCTTTCTGTGTAGTTCTCTATCTTTATGCTTCATTTGCAAATCTTCTACCTCTTTACATTTTTCTTTCATCCACTCTTCCTTAGCTACATTTATTTTTTTCTCAATTTCCCTGTTATTTGTTTCTTGTTAGGTTTTTGTTTTTTACCATCTGTCTCCTCTCCATAATTTGTAATATTTCGTTTACTGTCCAAGACAGTATTTTTAATTTTCCCCTACAAGTCTTCATTCAATGTTTTCTTTTATTGTCTTCTCCTGTGGGAGCCATTGTCTTAGACTCTAACTGCGTGTGTACCATGTCTTCATATTATACTTCTGTTGCTGTCCTTGGTCAGCACTACTCCATGCGATTTTCTGACTGGGTTTAGCCTTGTCTACTTTTTTAAGTTTTAATCGGATAGTTGCGACTACAGGATTGTGGTCTGAATTTGTCACAGCTTTGGTACGTTTTTACATTTAGAATACCATTACGGAACCTTTTGCTAATTGTAATGTAGTCGATTTGGTTCCTCACAATATTTCCTTCGCAATCTTGAGGACACCTCTTTTGGAAACCTCGAAAGGAAAAGGGGGGGTACAATGAAACATTTTTGTACTGATTTATTATATATTCCCAACTTATAACGTTAAATAACTTTATACATAGAACTCCAAATCAACAAACATGTAATTAAATTATAATTTATAAATATCCATCTGTGAGGAAATTCCTAATGTTGAAATAAATGTACCCTAAAGTATAATATGACCACTTATTTTTTCTAATAACTGTTATTCAATTTGCACTAGGTTAAAATATGTAAAACATATCCTCCTCCCCATAACATAACAATTTTCCTAATTTTGAAATAAACGCACCCTAAAACATTATCATCATCAGTACCCTACAACGCATGATTGAATATTAGCAGTGTTAACACATAAATATCTACATGAGGAGCGCTGCACTAGAAAGTCTTGGACAAAGCAACAAGAGATGAAAAAATTAAGTGAAAATACACGGAAATGTATATAAAAAAAGAGAGAGAACTTTATATAAAATCTAAACAACAGATATCATAGACTTGTGTCACGAATAAAAACAGAGAAGCAAAATAAGTAGAGCCAGCAAGAAAGAGAACATCTGCAGAAACAGAATATATTGGAGGAACCGAAAATTCGGTGTCATGATGTATATTGATGTTGTTTAAATACTACAAACATCTGCTAACTGAAAAATCAATCTAAATATATAGTGCAAACTCTAGAGGAACACGAAAACCATACAGAGGACCAGATAAAACACCCTAAAGAGTTCAAAATGTATATATAAAGTGTGGATGGGCTGAAAACTTGATAAGAAATAAAAATAAACAAAGAAATTGTTAGTGAGAAGTTATTTAGTCATGAAACTGGGCAGAATAAACATGAATATTGCCTCTGATATAATCGATTATATAGAGAAAAAACTGGAGTGGATTCCAATAGGAAAAAGGATGGAAAAGATCGTATTGGCGGATACAAAGAGTTTTAGATAATGTTTGAGGAATATAGTGAAAACTATGGAAATCTTTAGTAGTAGGTAGAAAAATGTTTATTGGGGTTCCCAGGGATATAAGAGAAAAATAAAATGAGTGTTCAGTGTGAAAGACACATGTTAGCTTTATCTGTATGATCATGAAATGTATTCAAACGAAGATTAGAAGGACACCATAGTAATTCAAATAGATAAAATATATGTTACCAAATCCGACCAAGAATTACTACAAATCATCCTCATCAAATAGCCTCTTCCATCAATAATGCTTATTTTGATTAATATTTCGAACATGTAACAACGATATTACAGCTGTAACTACAGGATTATACAAAATACTTCGTTGGTATGTGTAAATTAATTTACTAAAAGGATCATTTGACATGGTTTAATGTCTAGAAAACTAAACAAAATGACAAAGAGAATCTCAAAGGCTGTAGTATGATGAACCTGAGAAGAACACGAAGATTGGCGTAAATAATTCTCAACTTTAGGAATTTTAATTCAATAAATTTACACGGCTAAATTAAAAGGGACGCAATCTACTGCGGGTTAATTTTTTTTGCAATAGTAGGTATAAAACTCTTAATATTGAATCTTTACATCTATATTTAATATCAGAATGGACCAAAACTTTCCAGTGTCGAAATTATTTGTTTTAAATCATATTTACATATAAATTATTGGTGATAATGTACAGTACAAAGTTAGTCACCGATTTACAGATGGTAGTCGGAAGGTTTGGTGAAACTAAATGTCTGAAAAAGTTGTATGTTGCTACAGAAGTTTTTAAAATGTATGTAAATAATTATTATAACCAACTACATATTTAATTCGAAAATATGTGGCTGATAGAAGCGGTTTACCAGGAATAGGGACTATGTCAATTACTAGATATCTATAATGTTCCCTTCCTTCTATAATGTTCCACATTCCATTTAGAAAAACTTGTACTCTCAGTTGAACTAATTATTACTTATAGATATTTCTTTAATTATGTTGTTAAAATACTCTTATTATGATGGGTAAAATCGAAGGAAGCAGAGGAATTGGTAGAAAGCAGGCCTCTTGGTTGAAGAATATCAGGGAGTGGACAGGAATAAAGAAAGCTGAGCAACTATTTAGAATAGCTCGAGACAAGAGACAGTTTCGCCATGTTAATGGCCAACGTCAAGGGGACTTGATAGGGCACGTTAAGAAGAAGAAGATAAAATACTTCAGCATTTTTTAGTCTAGAAGTCAGTCTAAATGTATTCAATATGTCTAATGAGTTTAAAGACCGGTTTTACGAGAATCTTGATAAAATTATTTCTACAAAAAGGGATGACAACATTGCTTATTTATCTAGTGAAAATGTGATTTCATTCGTAATCAAGCGAAAAGAGCAAACAGACAAGCTAAGAAAAATTGTCATACCGACATTTGGCAAAATACGATGTAGTGAATGTAGGAAATGATTTCAAACTTATTGTTCCTTTGTAAGAAGGTAAGAAGAAATTTTTAATATTACGTAAAAAAGAGAAATTATTTGATATTCTGTATGAAGCACATTTAAGTATTGTCCATGAAGGAAGAACAAGAATCTTAAAATTTTTAAATGATAAATACAAAAATATAACACAAGAAGTAGTAAAGATAGTGCAAATCCTCCTGATCATGGAGCTGCTCGAAAGCGTAGTCAAAATTCATGTAAAGGCAAAAATGTTCTATTGTAAGTGGAATTATACACACCAAACTGAAACTTTCTACCTTCGACGTTGCATAGTACAGTGCGTTTCGCATGGAAATGGGGACTAAAGCAAATGTCGTCTACTGCGCCGTGGTTAGGAGTCTTTGCACTAACTCTAAAATTTTTTTTTAAATCTTGC